CTCTTTTTCTTTATGAGGCGTCAAGGCTCGGGGGTGCAGGGAGAAAGACAACGCGTGTCCTTTCCCTGCGCCTGCACCCCCGTGCGGAGCCTGCTCAAAATGCCCCAGTTCAGCCAAGCAAACGGCCTAATCTATCGCCCGCGGCTTGCTGTCAAATGCGCATGCTGCGCTCGCCTGTAGCACTGACCATTTGTGCTTGTAGGCCCATGCGGCTACTCGTTGCACAAAGATCTGCAAAGGCCATGCTGCGGTGAACAGCTTGTTCACTCCGGCTTCGGATGCGTAGGCCGTGCACTGCTTGGCCCTCTCAGTGATCCACGCGACCGCATGAGCTGAAGCAAGCTATATAGCGTTGGGCCTCCTTGGCGAGGCACGGCCATTGCTGCTGGACTTCCTAGAAGCCCAGGTTTCCGCGAACCGGGTCGGCTGGAAATGAACCAGCTGCCTATGCCCACCTTGGTGCCTTCGGCACATGCGTCTGCGGCTGCTTTGCATGCCAGGATTGGCTTTGCAGCGGGCATGCCAACATTCTCTACGTTGGCTTTGCGTGTTTTGGACAATCGAGGTCTGCTACGCGCACCCAAGCCGTCTTGTGGCTAGGCACCACGCGAGGCAAGTCGAATGGGCTGCGTACTGGGGTTTGTCGGCGCTCTAACAACCTTTGAGCCAAGTGGCATGCACGGGCGAGGCCTGTGAAGGCTGGCGGCGAACGCAGATCCGCATATAAAGGCGCAAGCCAAGATTCTCAATCCTAGGCTTAGGCTGGTGGCCCAGATGAGCAGCCCCAGCACTTGCTCCAAAAGCTTTCTTCTCATTCTTTTTGATCGGAGCAGGGCGCAGCGGCGGACGCGCGCCGCTACACCTCGGCGCAAGTGGACGCGCTGTTGGTCGACTACCGAACGGGGACGGCGCAGGACGCCGAGACGACCAGCGCCATCTCGGCTACCTCGGCGCAAGTAGACGCGCTGTTGGCCGACTACCGGACGGTGGGTGCGCAGGACACGCAGACGCAGGCAGCCATCGCGGGGCTGCTGGCCTACCGGACAGGCCCCGGCCAAGATGTACTTCACCGTCCGAACGGGCGCTTCCACGCCGGGCCTGGCCAACCAGTCGGCAGGAACGGTGGACGTCTACGGCCTCCAGATCCTGGACGCAACCCTGGAGGCCGGCAACACGACGGAGGCAGACGACTGCTCCTCGACGGCGGAGCCGACGACGTCAGCCAGCTCGAAGCCTCCCACCGTGAAGCTGACCGAGACCACGGAGCTCTGGCTGTGGGTCGGCACGCTGGACCTGTACAGCCTGCAGATTAGGGTCGGTCTCCGCGACGGACCTGCTGGCCGACTTGCTGGCTGTCACGGGGCTGCTGGACGGCTCACCGCGCAGGGCAACGTGGGCTGCGACCAGCTGCTGTACTGCACGGACGTGTTCACGGGCGTGGACGCCTCGAGCGCAGTCTCCTGCGCAGCGCTCACGGCCACCGGCGGGGCTCCAAGATCCATCTTTGGCAGACCTGGCACGGCTCGATGGGTTGAGGAAACAATGCAAAACAATGCAAAGCAATGAAACTGGGCTCATGCCAAAGCGGTTTTTTCTGTGCGTTCAGTCGGGCTTCTGCATGGTATTTGGTACTGGAAAGGCAGGCCGCCCCTGCTGTGTCACCAGGCCTGCACCTGCCGCTTGCAGTCCGAGAATTACTGGCCGCTGTACATTGTCTTCAAACTCTCCGGCCAGGGAAACCGCCTTCTTGGATTTGATCTTTCGTTTCTCGCGAACCTCGTCCTTCGCGCACTGCGCCGTCACTTCCACGAGGATGCAGCGCTTCAGCACCGCGCGCGTGTCCGCGTCGAAGATCAGGGCTCCACCCGCCCTGGGCGCCGATGCTGCTGCGGCTGATCCGAAGCTCGTCAAGCTGCAAAACTGGGTAACTGTCCTCAAAATGGGCAATTCTTTTTGGATTTACTCGAGCACCAAGACGGGTGTGTGTGGGAGAGCGTCACCAGCTGGTAGGCCACCAGGTGGATGAACAGGTCCGGAAAGTGAACCGAGAAGGTCGTGAGCGGGCGCTGACCCCACTCAGGGGCATCTTGGGCACGCTCGGTCGGCAATGAAGCTGTGGCGCAGGTAGCCCACACCGATGTCGATGTTGCGCGCCGTGTCGTCGTACGTCCCCGCAAGGACCGAGAGGAAGTGGAAGTGCTCCGAGGCTCCCTTCATGGGCGCCAAAAAACTAGCAAAATCTCCAAAAAACTCACTGCCTTTCAACTTCGTTTTTGACGACAAGGAAAACAAAAGCTTTCTGCCACTCTTCGTCGTTTTTGACGTTGAGTGGCAGTTAAAAAAACAAGCAAAAACACGGAAAAATGGAAGTCTTCCAGGCTCCTCGGTTCAGAGGCCCGAAGAAGAAGGGCCTAGTCCGGAATGCTCAGCCACGCAAGCTCTCTCAGTATGAGCCTCCGTGCTTTTTTGAGGTGGAACCTTTCCGTCTCCAGCCTTTTCA